TGATTGTTTTTCCAATCAAACGATCATATAAAATCTCTCAATTCACGTTTTTCACGAAATATCTTCACCAAAAACGTAAATTTTCTCTCTTTAAAAATTCTTGATGGCCAACTGGAATTCCGCATATAGTGTTGGTTCCCTTACCAAGCCTCCAACTCTTCAACGAGAAGAGTACCCACAATGGAGAATAAGGATGGTAAACGTCTTGGAAAGTATGGACAGAAACCTTCTGCGATCTGTAATGGAGGGTCCTTACGTTCCACAGACTCTTGTCCCAAGAGTCCCGGGAACAAATACTACAGCAGAAATTCCTGCATATTACATGCCCAAGGATGAGAAAAACTGGGATGAAGACGATATTGAGCGTGTGGAAACTGACAAGAAGGCCATGATGTTTTTTTAAGGGTTGCATATTTGTTTCTATTAAATTGCAAGCTTGCTGTATTTTACGAATATGTTTGTTGTGTGAACGTGTTTTCTGTGATAAAATGTTGTGTGGGAAATTTTGGGAGGGGGGGGGGATTGTACTAAGGATTTAATCTTGAAAACAAGCACGCTGTGTGAAGCTTGTTAAGCCGTAAGAGCGAACATGTTGTGTAAAGTTCGCCAGGCAATGCTATGTGATATAGTCATTTCCCCCTCACGTTTCGGTAGTTTATGAACTGTGTGTAAACCGTTTATTCACTGGGCCTTAGGCTCACCAAACTCGTGTTTTTTTCTTTTCAAAATAAAAAGATGCAACCAGGTCACTACACTTATGGGAATAGTAGCAAGGGCAAAGAGAGGGCGTAGCGCTTGGCTACTCGTGAAGAGGATAGACTTGAAATGAAGTCTAGTCGTGACTTGTCTTGACGAAGAGTAGTCAGTTGTGGGTTTAAGCAATTGTTGTATGATCAGAAGAAATTTTTAGACTTCCGCTGTGATTTATGTTTAAACTGTTTCAATTCAATATTTTATGTAAGTTTCCAATTTTTAAGGTTGAAATTTATTAATGATTTGAGGTTAAGATAAAGATCGGATTATGGGTCTTTACAGGTGGTATCAGAGCCTTAGTTCTAAGAGAAATAGGTTATGATTTTTAGCCTAAACTTAGACAGAATTAAGGTTGAAAAAACAATTGAAACAGAAATGATGAATTTGGACTGTTATTCTTGTTGTTAGTGTGCTTGCTGTTAAGTGATGATTGTGTTGAGATTAATAGATCTATCGCTGTGAGTTGTAGGAAATGGTTTATACCAAGCGCACTAGAAGTATTGGAAGACGAGGACGTAGAGGAGTTGGTCTAGGACCAAGAGGAGGAATTGGAGAACGAGGCCAGAGCAGCAGGTGCTCTNAGCGCACTAGAAGTATTGGAAGACGAGGACGTAGAGGAGTTGGTCTAGGACCAAGAGGAGGAATTGGAGAACGAGGCCAGAGCAGCAGGTGCTCTAGAAGAATAGAGAGTACAAGCTCTGCAGAGCCAGAGGGCAGAAGCTCTAGTCGAAATGAGAATATTCCAAGGGTTGAGTCCTCCCAACCCACCTCTGTAGGGGATTCCTCTTATGATCCCACAGAGGGATCCTATGAAGAGTACACTCCTCGAACCCCTGATCATACAGACCTCGAGGAGAAAATATCGTCTTTGCAAGAAGAGAAAGCCCAACTAAAGGCAGAGCTGTTAGTGGCACAAAAAGCCAAGGACCAGGACCAGGCCGACTGGTGGGTGAACAACGTGCAGAGGGAGCACGTGAAGTTAGGTGAAGAGTTGAACAAAGTTTTGACTGAGAATAATGAACTCTAGGAAAACAACCACACTATGGCATGGAAGTGTGTAGAGCTGGAATGGGAGAGGATGATTGCTTCACGATCATGGAGGGTGCGATTGGAAGATCGTGCTCACTATTGCTGTGAGGTGGCCACGGGCTACTTGGACTCCACCAAGGAGTACTTCTCACGTTGGGCACGACAGTTTCACCAAGGCCCAAACTTGAGCTTTGTATGGAGGTATCACCCAGAGAGCCCTTATGAGGAGTTTGTGAGAATCACAAACTACCCTATGGATATGTCATGAGTAAGAGGATGAGGAGAAAATAGTTAGCATATGAACTGTGTGTTGCTAAGTTTTATTGCAATAAGTTGGCAGCCTAGAGCTGGGATATCTCGGTGTTTTCTTTTATTTAGTTTAAACTTGTTAAGTATGAGCCGATTGACATGATTATGGAATGAAATAAACTTATGTTAGTGTTTAAATCTTGTTGAATGGTTGTGGAATGCTAAGTTGTGTATAAGAATAGTTATTTATAATCTCTTATATGCATATAGTTAAGAAAGAAGGAAGTCTCAACGATCGAGAAGGACTCTATCGGTCGCTCCCAATGCAGAGGAAACACCTCTGGTCGGGGCTACCCCTGCGGTACCAGGGGTGATACCAGCCTCTGCTGCGGCCACGAGGACCGTGAGCACTAGAGGCAAAGGACAAGGCAAAGGAAGATCGCAAACAAGACAAAGCGAGCCAGAGCCCTCGGTACAAGAGGGCTCTGCATCGGGTAGAGGCAGAGGCAGAGGTCGCACACGGGCAGCGACCACCACCCCTGTGGACCTCATAGCTCAAGAGGTGTCTAGAGCTCTAGAAGCTACTCTGCCTGCTGTTATCGCACAAGTAAGAGAGGCAGAGCAGAGGAATGAAGAGGCTAGGGAAGCTAGCATGGTAAGAGAAGTGGTTAGCAACATCAACCATAGAGAGGACCATAGAAAAAGGTCAAGAGCTAATAGTCATGTCAACACTAGCACGGGACAGAGGGGTTGTAGCTACAAAACTTTCTTAGCTTGCAAACCCCAACCATTTCAGGGTGAGCCAAATCTAGTTACGGCCCTGAGATGGATAAAGGAGACAGAGATGGCCTTCAAAGTTAGCAAATGTGCAGAGGAAGACAAGGTGACTTATGTTGCTTCCATGATGAAGTCTGAAGCCCAATTCTGGTGGGAAATAATTACCAACCTAAGGGGCGAAGAGGCTGTAGCAAGGATGTCATAGGATGAGTTCAAGGTGTTGTTCAACGAGAAGTTCTGCCCAAGAACTGCTATAAAACAGTTGGAAGAAGAATTCTTGAGGTTAGAACAAGGAAGTTTAATGGTCAGAGAGTATACGACCAGCTTCACAAAGAAGTCTAGATTCACAGAGCATTATGTCTCTACTGAGGAGAGACGGGTAGAGCGTTTCATGTGGGGATTGAAAGCATCCATCAGGGAGTTTGTCCTCACCATGAAACCAACTACTTTCCAAGAGGCTGTGAATGCAGCCAAAGTTAGAGAAAAGAAAATGGTCCGCCAAGAATCCGAGCGGGGCCAGCTGAAGAGGAAATCGGAGGGTTCAAACAACGAAGCCCGAAGACAAAAAGTTGGGAACTCAGAAAGAAAGGTATGGCAAGGAAAATCGGGCAAACCATATCCTAAATGCAACCTTGTGCATAGAGGAGAATGCCTGGTTAAGCCCAAGGTCTGCTACCGGTGTGGGAAGGCTGGACACTTGTCCCAAGACTGCAGAATGGAACGAAGAGAGAGATTATGCTGCATCTGTAAGTCACCCAATCATGTGCAAGCAGACTGTCCGTAAAATAAGTAGGATGTTACGGCCATTCAAGGAGGAAGCAGAGGTGGGAAAGGAGAGGAACGACGACCAAAAGCACCAAGACCAAAAGGGAGGGTGTTCCAAATGACTGCAGCCAAGGCTGAGGAAACCCCGGATGTGGTAACAGGTACCTTCCCTGTTAATTCTGTACATGCAAAAGTTTTGTTCGATTCTGGCGCGAATAAATCACTTGTATCCACTACTTTCTGCCACAACTTGAAAAGAGTAGCTAAGCCTCTAAGTTCAGCATTAGAAGTAGAAACTGTTGATGACAACAGGGTAGTGATTAAAGAAGAATATGATGATTGTATTATAAAGGTAGATGGTAGCTCTATTTCACTTAAGCTGCTCCCTATGACAGTAGGGGAGTTTGATATAATAATCGGGATGGACTGGTTAGCTGAAAACCAAGCTAGAATCCTGTGTAATAAGAAGATAATCCAGATTGAGGTACTGGGTAGTGGGAGATTAATAATCTATGGAGATAGAAGGGATAAGAAGGCTAGCATGATCTCTCTACTCAAGGCAAGACGATGTATAAAGAAAGGATGCCAAAGCTATTTAGCATATGTGATCAACGCTAAGAAGGAAAAGAGTGCGATGGAAGATATTAAGGTGGTAAGAGACTTCCCAGAAGTCTTCCCAGATGACCTGACCAGTCTTCCGCCAGAAAGACAGGTGGAGTTTCAGGTTGATCTGGTTCCTGGAACTGCACCTATTTCCCGCGCACCTTACCGACTTGCACCATCAGAGATGAAAGAATTGATGACGCAGTTGCAAGATCTATTGGACAAGGGTTTCATACGCCCTAGTATATCACATTGGGGAGCTCCAGTGCTGTTTGTCAAAAAGAAGGATGGTACAATGCGAATGTGCATTGACTACCAGGAGCTCAACAAGGTGACTTTCAAGAATAGATATCCGCTTCCGAGAATTGATGACCTCTTTGATCAACTTCAGGGTGCAAGTTACTTCTCGAAGATTGATCTACGGTTGGGGTATCACCAACTGAGGGTAAAGGATGAAGATGTATCCAAGAATGCCTTTAGGACGAGGTATGGGCATTATGAATTTTTGGTCATGCCATTCGGAATGACCAATGCACCTGCAATGTTCATGGACTTGATAAACAGATTCTGCAAACCATACTTGGATAAGTTTGTCATCTTTTTTATAGACGACGTTCTTGTATATTCACGTACCAAGGAGGAGCATGAGGAACACTTACGGGTTGTTTTAGATCTACTAAAACAGGAAAAACTGTAAGCGAAACTCTCCAAGTGTGAGTTATGGCTACGAGAAGTGCAATTCCTCGGTCGTGTGGTGAACCAAGAAGGAATAAAGGTTGTTAAGACTGAAAATCAGTATTAATTGTATTCGTCTTGAAAGTTAAATATTGTCTATAATTGTAAAAAGTCATCGTGTTTGACTTTTATTAGACAGGTTTGACTTTGACTTGTATTAGTTGTTTGACCATATAAGTCGTAGCTTGTCTTTGTAATTTGATAAAGATAGAGCTCATTCGTAAGATTGAAGATACGTAATAAAGTTTGACCAGATTTAGTGCATTGACTTTCTCTCTCAATATTGTTCTTGGTGTTCTTGAAGATAAATCCAGATCTGCCATGATTATGAAGATAAAATGAAGATTGATCAGTGAATTTAGGGACAAACAATTGGTATCAAAGCATGTTTGCAAGAAATCAGATGAAGAAATCAGAGATAAGTGAAGATTTTATTTTCTGAATTTTTTTGTTCTTCGTGTTCTTTATTTTTTTAGATTTTGATCCGATTTTTTCGTAAAATCTTATGTTTTGTGTTAAAAACAGGATCAAAATGCTCGGAATTTAATTGTGAATCTTTGTTATTCATAAACTTTTGTCATTTGATTGTTACATATCAAGATTTAAATCGGTTTTTGTGTTTTTAATTTTTTCGTGTTCTTGAATTTTTTTTTTAAAACCAGTGTTTTTGATTCATTTTTTTTAAAAAGTTTTTCTGTTTTTGATAGTTTTTGATCTGGTTTTAATTTTTAGTTCTCTTAATTTTTTGTTAAACCGTACAAATCCTAAATCGAAGGAGTCATACAAAAGCTTAACTGGAGAAGAGATTACACCGCAGAAGCCTTGATCGGATTGTTCTCCGGTTTGTTTCATAGTATCAATCGGTTTCTAATCCAAGTCTAAACCGCACACAGCTTCATCGGGTTACTTGAGCGGATTCATAGAAGACTTGAGCGGTTTAAGCTAAACCGCACATCATTACAGCGGATTCTTGAGCGGACAAGTTTAAACCGATCAGAACCTGAGCGGATACTTGAGAGAATTAATAGAATTCTTGAGCGGTTTAAGTTAAACCGCACACCATTTCAGCGGATTAAGGAGCTAAACCGTAGAAATCTTGACCGGATAATTGTCCGGATTCGCACAAATCACAGGTAAGTCTTTGAGCGGTTTATTCCTAAACCGATCACCTCTTGACCGGTGTTCATATAAACCGATCATCTCTTGACCGGAAAAGTGTCCGGATAAGTAATAGATTGATTCTTTGCATGAGCGGAGAAGTTATCCGCACACATCTTGAGCGGATTTTGAGTTTTCCTTGAGCGGACTAGTGTCCGGATAAGTGTCCGGTTTATTAAACCGCTCAATTTTTTGCTCAATCTCTTTGACCGGATATCAATTTGTTCAATTCATTTCACCATCTGGATTCTTAATTGCTCATCAGGTTTGAACGATTTAAGAATTTGACTTGGCTGTTTAAGTAATTCACAACAGATTGTTTTGGTTCAAGACTTAATCACACAGAATYTGTTACCAGCTTCTCMATWTCCAAGTGTTGCTGTCATTCAGGACGAAGCACAATCAGAGACTGCTAGAGGAAGCTGCACATATACCCTTTGGTTGTGAATCAAGGATTGTAACTGCTTGTAATCATATCAAGGGATTCTGTTTTGGGTCATATGTACTTGAACTGTTTTGTGTAATTTGGACTTGGACAGTTTTAATTTTTAGGTTTCTAATTGTTCGTGTTTTTTTTAATTTTGTTTAGATTTTATTTTTGGATCATCGTTTATCTGTTTTGTGTGTGTTTTAAATGTTTGAGAATCTTTGAACTGTTCTGTGTCACGTAAACTGTTTTTCATTAGTTTTAACTGTCTTTGACTGTTTTTCAACAGTTTTGACTGTTTTACTGATATTTGACAGTTTTTCGTTGATTTTCTTAATTCTCATCAGTTTTTGTGTTTTTCTATTCTTTTTGAGCTTAAACTGTTCTTGTTTCTTTTAACTGATTTCACTGCATAGATCCTTTAACTGATCTTTTTTTTTTCTCTAATGGCAAATATCATAAAGGAGTTGAGAGCTAAGATTGCTGAGCTGGAAAAGAACATCGAGAGTTATAAGGAGAAAGAGTTGATGAATAATGAAGTATTACATCAATCATGCATCAATCAGATGAAAAAGATGACACTCCAAATTCAAACCTTCCAACAAGAGTTAAAATCAGAAAAATTGCGTTCAAATAATTTTGAAGATCAATTAAAAACGCTAAAAGAAAGATATACCAAAGTATATATTGAAAATG